TCACCAACTTTGCGAGTTGATTATGAGCATCGACAAGGAAGATTGATGGCGGATTTTAGCTGAGTTTTCCTTTAATGCTTTTCATTGCTTCTCTCTTGGCGTGGATATTGGAGTTAGGGTTTAACAGCTAGATTAGGTAAGTCCTATCCGGGTTTAGGTGCAACCAGATTCAGGATGATGCGTTGTGAAGAAAAACTGTAAATGCCTAAACTCCAATATTCATTCATAATTTCCCTAAGCGTACATTGGGAGACGGAAAATATAACTCCCGCAGGATACACTGGTTAAGATTACAGAAGCATTACTAAAACCGTAATCTCTATTTTCGACGTGCGACTTGACTATCATTTCGAATACGATCAGAGTACATTGGGAGACGAATGATATCTTTGATCTCCCGAAGCAACACTTCCTCGGTTATGTTATCATTTATGCTTTTTATCACCTATTTTGTTAACACAAGAAAGCAAAATAACACTATAATCCATTTTGACAAAAGGCAACAAACAATACTTGAAATGTTATAGAAACCGTTAACTAACCTTACGAGCGGTGTTAATATCATTTGGCGTAGATTTATCAACTCTGATCCGCATGCTAACCCAAACTTTCTTCTCTTTATCCAATGAACACTCTACAATCTTCCCATTGTAACTTGAAGGCTCCGACCCATCATCTCGGAACTCAATCAAATAGCCTTCCATAAGCTTTTTCTTCCCTCTTTCATACAAAAAGAGCATTCCACGACCTGAATCGTCGCCCATCTCGAACAGAAAGTCTACTGAGTTCATTTCCGCATACTTCCACTTTAGTAGACCTTTATGAGTTCGTGGTACATAAGGATCGTCCCAACCCTATTAATTACTCCACAAAATCCAATATAGTGTATTAGCAAAGAGAGGACCACCAAATTCTGTTTTTTACTCTTAAAAAATGTATCCACCTCGATGGTTGCATAGTTCTTTGTACTATCGACTATGTGTTATCTTAAATATCATTTTTCCGGAAAAGAACCCAATAAACGTGTTATTCCAAGGAACCTAATCTTCATGCTTTCTTCAAAAGTACTATTCTAATAATATATATAAACATCCCTTGGTTACCTGCAATATTAGGCCATCTGATTCATGTGAAAGCGACGGAATGGTAGCTTTCAAAATCTTCTCAACAGTAGAAAGTACCCAAAAACCCTTTATCCGTACCTACGTAACAACAAAATTTTAACCAAAATTTTAAAATTTTATACAAAAAAAGAGGGAAAAATATGGCGTGACAGAAAATTGCAACTCGCAAACTCACCCCAAATGGCTCAAGGTCGTATATGTAGCAATGACTTTTGGACTTCTCGTCATTACGGACTTTGATCACCTCATGTAAAGCCATGTTCCATCTTTCACAGAAAGTCCTCTGTTTCATTTTCAAACCAATTGAAGTCATTACAAGGAAATTAATAACTCGAGGAACCAAATAAATAATGACAATATCCCAACCTCTGCGACTGATTCGCCATTGATTGCTACCATATCATATACGAGGTACCTCCTCCTCGCTTGCCCTTTTTCACCCTCGGTGTTATCTATAACCATTTCTCCATCAAGCAAAGTGTAATGGTGCACTTTATCAGAAATTCCCTACCATCCAAAAACCAAATAAGTCAGGAAATTCACAAGTTTTCGATATTGAATCAAAAGGCCTCTAAGCAAAGATAGTTAAACTGCTCACTTTAGTTTGGTGCCTACAGGGAAACCGCATTTGTGTCCTTCGAAACTTAAAGTTCCTATCTATTAAATAACATCCATCTATAGTCATAAGCATCATATAACGCGTTCCATCTGCCTTCCATGTCGCATAATAGTACCGCTGTCTCAAAAGTTGCAAACTCTCCCTGCACATAATTAAGTAAGCGTAAGAGTTAACTACATTGAGAAACTAGACTAACAGATACATGGTAAAGCAGAGGGTCAGACCTGTCTAAAGATACGGGGTGCGATCCAGGGAATTGCGTACATCGTCTTTCCTGGATTAGAGAAAATTTTACATAATATTCCATAAGAGCACAAAGAGAGAAAAAAACTAGGAATAACAAATAAACATTTTAAATTCGTACCCCGATATTCATCTTAAGCATATTATAACAGAATTGCCGGTAAGCTTCCTCCTGATAACGAGGTATTTCATCGCCCAAATTGTCATCATTTGACATCTTCACATTCTCCTGATTTGTTTCCTGAAACAACAAGACAATAAGAAGTCAAGATCAGCAACAAACCATTACAAAAAAAATGATATTGACAATTTGTATGCACCATGCTTACATGTAGAGGGTCGGGTGGAGAATTATCGTCATCATCATCTTGAACTGCTTCGCCATTAAGGTCAAGCTCCGTAGATATTTTCCATTCAGGAGTTGGTGGGCAAGTAACATTTTTCGGCTTTATTTCGTGATAAAAAGTGTATAAAGCATCGATATAATCTGCTTTATAAATTCCAGGTGGACGAGCATCAGAGAACATTTTCAATGCCTGCCAAAGGCCACAAGAACAGAGTGTAAGATTCTCCATTCTTAAACATGATCAATACAAAGAGTGCACAAGTACAAAATTTGAAAGAATCGAACCTGTGTAACGTTCATCATCAGCGTAGAGCGCATAAGATAATGAACAATCATGAACCCTGTCCGATTATGCCCATGTGTACAGTGGACAAGGATATACTTTTTTGTGTGTTTTTGAGTAAGGATAAACTGATTAACCTGAAGAAAGTATCCTCGAATAAGCTACTAACAATTTCAAGTGAATTAATTTCTTTTTGGTCAATCAAGAGAATTGAAGTTATATTGAAACAAGTACCTCATTGACAAAAGTGTTAACAGATACATTATCTGGCACGGCATCACGACCTCTGCATGCAATCTACAACATGAAAAAAGAAGATAAAGCAATCCGCTAATACGAACAAGGGAAAACAAAATGTATTCTATTCTTTCACCTTAACATGTTTGATGCCGTCCTTCTTTAAGTCTAGTGTATGATAGTAACGAGTTGTATTTGTTAGATCAATCACAAGACCAAGCTGAAAAAAACATACCCATTTTTTGGAGAGTTAATAACATAACATTGAAGAAAATTGATGAAAATGTAAAAACTTACATTTCTTCCATTTATTCTCTGGTTACGAACCACCTGCTTAAAAGAGTATCTTTTGCCAGGAGGAACATGTTCGTTGTACGATTCACTAAGCGGAACCTTTGAAGGAATAATGCATCCTATCTCCAGACCAAAACCAGGACAATCTAGCCAACCTGTAGTGGCCAAAACAATACTTACTATGTTTGAAATCATTGACCTAAGGAAACAAAAAAAAATTATACTTTGAAGACAAAACCTTGAGGGATCTTGATTTGATCATAAACTCTAGTATCTCTGTTCTGATGATACTGATCACGGAACAGTGGCTGAGAGATTCGGGATGGTCTCTCTACTCTCATTCGTTTCCTTCTTTCTTCACGCTCCTGGAATGAAAATGTAAGAGAATCGAAGGAAAACATATAACAAAAGTATTTAAGATGCCATATCAAGAAAACACTTTGGTGCCATGCTTTCATTCCCGCTTTAGGTCCATTAAAAAACTTGGTGAGTGAGCTGCTTATTCACCCTTAAAAATTAGTTTGGTCTCGACTCGGAACCTCCAGGTTATTAAAAATAAGTTTATAGATATACACTTGGTATAATGAAGTGTGATTATAGGTTTGGTGATGAAGGATGAATGATAACGTACACGTCTTGCGATCTCAACTGCAGATTCAATTCGATGATCTTCGACTTCCAGACGTCTCTTAAAGGGTTCATCGTCTTCTTCGGGTTTTGGTGAAACATTCAGGTCCATCGTTCAATGGTAAATACAAACAGAGCAATTATTGACAAAAAATCCAAATTATACAATGTAACACAAATTATACGATTAGGCTTCTCTGCAACACAAATCCGTATATACAATGTAAGAAATTTCTCGTTAATTTCTCTGATTTCTCTTAAGCAGCAACTAAAAGAGCAGAAATTGAAAAAACCTAGACCAAAATCTCCGTTACCAGAATCAGCCCGACCTATTTTAATCAGACAACACCAGCAAACGTAGAATCAAGGATATAATCCGATGATTATAGAGAAATCAATCGGAGACAGTTTTCAAGGAAATGTGAGATTGAAATCGAAACCCTAAAGGAGAGGGTGAGTTGTTTAAGAGAGGAGAGAAACGTTGTGTTTATATATGACTTCGACAAATCCATGATTTTACTTTGGTAACAAAACAATCCGGATTGAGTAAAAAAATAAAAATTGGATATCGGTTTAGTTTCCATATTTTTACTGTAAACCTCCAAAAAATTTAAAAAAAAAAACCTCCAAAAAATTTCATTATTACAGAAAAATCTCAAAACTAGGAAATATCAAGATTACAATCTCTAACATAGGTTCTAAGTTTGCACCAATATTTGTTAAAGATGTAAATGTGACTACACACAGTAAGACATGACATGGTATATTGATTTCTCTACAAAAAATATTATTAAAAATTCATTAGATGTATTTACAAGTTTAACCTAAACGGCTCTTCCCAAACTAAAAACACACTTGAATTAGTTAACCGATATTTCCAACCTCTCACGTTCTTTGTAAAATATATATTTTTCATATGTTTTTTGCTAGTTTTCAAGTAATTTTTAATTTGCTAAGTAGTTTGGATGTTAGTAAGCAAGTGACGTCAAATTTTTGTAGAAGGAATTCGTCCCAAAAAGAGTAACCAAAGTGGATTAATAAAATAATTTTGATTTTTAACCATGTAAAAGATAATGTATATATGATATGACTTTTATTTTCAAATTTTTGATTAGCTTAAGAAACTAAATGCGTTGACAAAAATCAACCTTCAAATACTTCAAAAAGTATCACTAGCATAGATTATAGAATCAATTAGCTGCACACCAATTTTAGTGAAAATAATTAAGAAACCATTTTCAGTATTTGGAATTAGAGGAGAAAGAGATTTTTGTTATAATCGTACTTGGGGGATTTTTTAATTAAACAAGAAAATAACAGATAAAACGTCACACACATGATTCTATAAATTATCTTTCGAGTAATACAAATATATCAATCTTCATAATCATTGGATTGATTGTCAAAGAAAGAAAAGATACAAAAATACCGATGGATTGGATCATAGTCATAGACCCACAAGTGCTAACACCAAAGTTGTCATGAGTATAATGAAGATTCGCCCAAATATTTCGTTTCCTG